AACATTTCTAATATAATACCTGCTAGGGTTATTGCTTATTTAATAGCTACTAGCTCTATTATTGTATTATTAATGCTACCCTTAGATTTGATTCTTTAAAAGTAGGTAGATAGTAATGTTAACTTTTTAAAGTATATTGCTATTCTAACTCCTGCTTAGCTATTAGTTACTAAGCTATTAGTAAAGATATTTATATACTAGTCTTTTATTTTAATGTATTTTCTATACGCTTTATCTAAGTTATATTAATTAGATTCGCTATTAACTATAATCACTTTCTATAATAGAGCTACTTACGCTAGGATAATTTCCATTCCAATCCCTGTCTTTCCTAACTGTATTTCTATATTATAAAGAAGGGAAATGAACAACTTTGCTTTAAGTTTCTTAGCTAGTTTTCTAAGCTGTTTCTTTAATAGGTTAGTTTCTAATAGTATATAGAGTCCTATTTAAAATTTGCTAATTTTCAGTTTTAACTAGATATATAGGAGATAGAGTAAGGCTTTAGCGCTGAATGCCTTTACTAAGTTTGTATAAAAGCATTTAACAACTATTTAGGCTTTTATTCTTTATATAGAATTGAGAATCCTTGCTATGCTATTATTAATCTTTCCTTTTAGGAATTTAGAATACTATATTATAGCTATATAGTCTATTTTAAAAGCTATTATAGCTTAATATAGCTATTTTGCTAATTATAGGTTAATATAGAAAAGGCGTTTAAGTTAGCTAGCATTTCTCTACTCCTTTATTTTAACTTTAGCTAAGTAGTCCTTAAACCTTAGCTTAGCGTTAAAAATAACTTCTAGGATTCTTTCTTTTATAGAAGGTTTAACAACATAGTTGCTTACCCTTAATAGAGAGTTAAAATTGCTAATTTTTTTTATAATTTTGTGTAAAATATATAAGAATTATTTTATTGCTTTTAAATATAGCGCTATTATTTTTTACTTATTAAAGAGCCTTTAAGACAACTTTATTATTAAATACTAATATATTTCTTTCTATTAATTCTGAAATAGCTTATTAAGTATAATTATTTATAAATCCTATATTACCTTATTTCCTATTAATCTTTTCCTTTATTAGGAACGCGTTAAAGGAAATGTATAGAATTAGGGTAAGCGTTGATCCTTATAGAAAGCCGGATTTTACAAATGTAACTTTGCTTAATTCTATACTATTAACTAATATTGTTGCTAGTCAATCTATATAAAAAGAGTTAACCTATATTACTATATAGATTAGAATCCCCTCTGCATATAGCTGATTTATAAGCATTTATTAACAGACGCTATTATATGCTCCTTTTATATTAAAATTAATAAAAGAAAGGATTTTCTTTTATTGCTATGCTTTAAAGATTTTCTCAGTTAAGAGAAGCAGCGCCTAGTTATATAAGCGTCTTAGCTTAATATTAAATTATATTTCTGAAAGGAGATTAAATATCTTAGCCTAATATAATATTCTTCTTATTAATACGAGTTTTATTAATTTGCTCAGAATAGGTAAAAGGAAGATAGAGCAATATGCTTTTACTATTTAATAATCCAGTTTTCCTACCTTTTATAATAATAAGATTTATGCTATTTTCTATACAGTTAGTATATATTCTAATTAATATAACGTATTAAAGATATTAATAACTTAATCACTTAGAATAGACTATAAGCGTTTCTATACAATGTTTAGAATACTGTTTATACTTAATGCTTTATATAAGCTAATTTTAGCTATTACTTTAATTACTTCTTTAATAAAGATATCTAAGTCTTTTATATATTTAGCATTAAGGTTTAGCGCGTCCTTTTTCCATTTTTTAGAAATTAGTAGAAAAAAGCATTAAAGTAGTTTATTTGCTTTAGCCTTATCTCCTTTAAGCTCTATTTCCTAGCTTTTAATATTAATAATTATAATAGGGATATTGCCAAACGCTGATAGTTAAGGATTAAGGTATTAGGCTGCTTTCTAGATATTGTCTATTTATGCTAGGAATTTATTCCAGTATAGTCGTTTTTTATTACAGATGCCTTTATAAAACTAATATTTAGCTTGCCTAGCTTTATAGCTGCTTTCTTTACTATCTAGTCCTATAGTTTATAGCGTATTGCTCTATTTTAGGCATTGCATATATTTATTATATAGTTTTATAAGTTTATTATTCTATTATGCTTTTATATATAATGATTTCTTAACTATAGAGCTATAGTTATAGATATATTGGCTTACAATGTTCTGGATTTCTATAACTGCCTAATTGAGCTTAGTAGTATTGTCAATATTAACAATTGATAATTTCTATCCTTTAAGTGCTTTAATAGCTATATCCTAATTTGTTTTTCTAAAATTGTATTTAGCTTCTTATAAGGTAATTGTTTTAGCTTTATTAATTCAAAATATTATAGCTTTATAGTTTGACCTATATTAGGTTAGGTGGATACCGCATTTTATAACCTAGTCTTTTATCAAATTAGACATTAGTATAAAATCAATAGTAGTTCCAAATTATCTTTATAAAAACGTAATTATGCTGCTTAATAAAGCTAAAAAAAGTATTATGCTATTACATCTATTAGAGCATTAGTTTGCTTTTTCCTTTATATTATAACTATAGCATATTGATTCCTCTTTATATTAGGTTATAGCAGTTAAAATCACTTTTAGTCATAATATAAAGGTTCTCTCTATATTTAGCTTTTACTTTCTAAATTGCTTTACTTAGGGCATTAAGCCTAGTAATAGCTGTCTCTTCTAAGTCCTGCTTAGAAGGCATATATTTATTACAGCCTAGGATATAGATTAATATTATAAAAATATGTTTTATTAACATAGTGATAACCCTTACTATTATATTAAACAACATTATAAGGATCTGGATAAATAAAATATCTTTATAAATGTAAAATGCTAATTAGAACGCGTAATATATTAGTCCTTTTTAGTATATAGATAGTGTTATAGTAACTTAGCATTAATATTATAAAATATATAGTTTGCTTTTAATATTAATAATGCTTAATTCTGTAACTATAATTGCTATAAACTGGCTAATAGACTAGTTGTTAATAAGGCTAAGCTAAACTAGGGATTGTCTATTTATATTTACTAGAAAGAAGCAGGTATCCCCTATTATATATTGCTTATAGTGATTTCCTATTTAGTATATTGGCTTATAACTGTTTGCTAATTCTCTTCCCTTACTTTACTAAGCTAATTAGAGGGTTTATTTCCGCTTTAGATTCTATTAATCTTATTTTAATATACTATGTATCTAGGGTCTATAGCTATATATAGTCCCTTATATACTATATATTTTAGTATTATAGCTATACAATTATTAATTTTATAGTTATTTGCACATTTTCTATATTTTAAGAGTTAGCTGCATCTAGCCTAGTAATGGCTATATTTATTATAGTTATAGTATCTCTAGGGGTATTAAATCTTATAGTATTAGCTAACTATAGTTATGCTGCTATTAACTTAGATTATGCGTTCCTTAAGCGCTCTTTAAGCGTCCTCTACTATATTAAGGTATATTACTATAAATTCTGTAGGTTTTTCCCTTTTAGAGAGCTAGAACGCCTTAATAGCTCTAGTAAACCTGTTTTCTATACTAAATTCAGCTACTAATTCTGGTTTAATCTTACAAATGCCTAATACTAGGATTGCTATTTTATATATATTGTTAACCTTAATTAGGAAGAGTTCCTCTTTCTAGATTTAGGCTATTTTAAATATTTAATAAATCTATATTTTATTTATCTATAATTATATTACGTCTTTCCTATTTTAAATAATAATCCTTATATCCCTTATTTTAAATTAGATTTCTTTAATAATAATATTATTTATAGATTGTTAGGCTGTAATAGCTTTCTAGATTTTATTCCTAATTGCTTTATAATTATCTATTATTTTGCGCTATTTAGCTATTATTTAGCTTAGATTTATTATAATGCTTAAAAGTTGGCGCAGTTTTTTAAAAAAGATAGGTAATATTGTTATTATAATGTTACTATATTAAAGCTATATAGTTAATAATAATAGGTTAATTAAGCCTAATGCTGCTAAAATATAAGAGATTAGTAAAGAGGTTACTATATTAGGATTAGCTAGGAATGTCAAGCTTGCTTATTTAAAGGTTAAAAGGACTGTTTTTCCTTTATTAATATTAGATTTAATAAATTAAACCTCAGTATTTAGAGCTTTAATATTAGTATTAATATTTTTAATATTTACGCTTGTGCTATTAAGCTTCTTTTTAAGCTCCTTATTTTTCTTTATAATAATATTAAATATTATTATTATTATAACGTTTTTTTTAATAAAGTTGCTTATTTTAAGTTTAGAATAATCCATTCTGATTCTAAAGTTGTTTATTCTATATATAGAATAGTTCATTCTGCTTTTAAAATTGCTTAAGCAGCTTATTAAGTTTGTTATTCTAAGCATTGAATTTGTCATTCTAGGCGTTCACTGCTCTTTTAATAAAACGTTTTATTATATCTTTTGTAAAGACAGCATTATTACTTAGATTAAGGGAACAGATAGGCTGAATCAGCCTTCCGCTCTGTTTAGTGTTTCTAGCTCTTTTCTATATTGCTATAGCAGTGCTTTGTCCCTTTAGGGACAACGCTAGTATAACTATAGCAACAGCGTTGCTAGGACAGTTGGGCAGCACCCTTTCCTTTAACTAAAATCGACAGGAGTTGGATAGTCCGACTCGTCGAGTCGGCTTGTAGATGAAACTGTCAATAAAATGATGAATATCGATAAAAAATATCGATGTCGGTTTTGATCTGTCCTTCTTGGCAGTGGATACCACCAACCTCATGCCGCCTCGCAGGCCGCTGATAATAATGAAAACCAACCGATTGGCTTTTCATAAGCAAGATTACAGGTATAATGATTACAGGTATAATGATCACAGGAGGGCCAACTACTTATCACGTGATTCCTACAGCTAGTGCACTGGCTGTTCATACTAGCCCTTTATGGGTGAATTGGTGTAGTGGTAGCATGCGGCCTTGTGGATATTCTACAGTGCGGCCTCGACGGCGGTTCGATTCCGTCATTCGCCAGGAATATGATTCTTTTTGGATTTTGTTTTGGCCATAATGCAACGAATCGGCCAGACTTCTGACTTCCTAGAGGTATTGATTTAATCATGAGCACAACAAGGCTATGTGCTGGACAGAGTAGTGCCAGAGCCAATCACGACTGAATCAGTAAAACATGTGACAGGGTCGTCCTATATATACTTATATATATAGGCTGCAATTGGTTATCGATGGAAGGGTACAACAGACATTATTAATGTACATATACGTCTGTAGAGGCAAAAACCATAGCCTTTACAGTGCGAGTGGTTGACCAATCTCATTGCTCTTGTGTCTTGTCTTCTTATGCTGCGCAGCTGTTGAGTCATTAATAGGGCGATCTTCTATTGGCTGTAGCATGTTGCATAAGAATAAAGGCAGTAGCAGGCCAAACTACATCGAATCAGCTAGCCCTTGCGAGAGACCCTCGCTTATAATAACAATTGTTGTGGTGATAATGTATCTGCAGCTGAATCTTTCATGTAGCAAACAACGCAACTCTAGAACATTCACTTTCAATGGACTGAATATTGCTCGGCCTCGCACCAGACAAAGAGCAGAAAGAAGGCAGTAAGATAAAAGACCATACCAGTTCCCCAACACAAGTGAAGGGCCAGTAAAGAGCAAGTGAACCCAATCTCAATATTCAAGCCAGACAACTGCTGCTACTTCTGACTGCACCAGAGCGTACAAAGAGCAAACCCTCTACAGTGCTCATAATTCACCCAACCAACCGACTGAACAAAAGCAATGCAAGCATGGCAGAATCGACGCTGAAATCGATCCTGCTTGACTCACTGCCTGATAAAGCGACCAAGGCAAGGATATTTGGCTCATCAGCACCGCGACTGCCTGTCACGTCTCCAAAAACGCCACCTCGCCATACTGAGCCTGGCCATGCAGATATAGACGCCTTGGTCATGATCGGTGACAATGTTGCGATTGAGATGCAGGATGAGCATACTGAAGTTGAAGTCAATACCTATTGGAGATCTGGTTGGATGCCATTCTGTGATGCCTTACCCTGTCCCTGGGAAACCGAGACTATCGCCGGGCTAATCAGTGAGTATACTCTCCTTCTTGATGGGGAAGTAATGGGACTGACGACGAAGTCAAGCCCTGACTCGCGAACTGTGGCCTGCCCTTGAAGCTGGGCTTTTCAGACTCAAACTCATCAAAATACGACAAGATATGGATGATTTCGACGAGGAACATCCATACAGCGAGTCGAAAACTCAAAGATATTGCCAAGCCATACTTGGTGTCCTCGACAGAGAGGAAGTCGGGCCAATCCTACTGGGTCCGAAAACACCCTTCGTGGAAAAGGACGGGAAGAGGCCAGAGTTCGAGAAGGAATCTGAAGCGATGACAAAGATGGTTCAGGATTCGCTCCGGGCCCTAAAACGACTCACTCCGACAAGGAAGAAGAGACTGGCTGAGGATACATTCGAAGGAAGTTCAGCAGTCTCCAAGAAGAAGAAGATGGGTGGTGATGTGGGCAATCCCATCGAGTTAGATTAGTGCTGGGTTTTGTTACTGCGCGTGTACTATCGAAATAGTCAGATCTTCCACGGCGCAGCGACAGTACTGTTGATTGATTCTTAGAAAGCATGTTGAAGGCGACAAGTAGTTAGTTCTACATGCACTGAAGCTGATATGGCCCACTCTGCGAGTCTTGGTATTTTTGATGAGTTCAGACTAATTCTGGGAGCGATCCTCTTCATCTGTGAGTCTCCCCATTGTCAGCATGTCATACATACATAGCCTTCGTCTACTCTCATACTATCACACAGCAGCTGGTTGGCCGGGGGAGGAAGACGGAATGAACGAACAACGCGAGAAGGCGGCACCAGAATCATGTCGAAATGAAGACAGCAGACACAAAAAACGACCTTTCAGCAAATGCGGAAAGGTTGAGTGCAGTCAGTCAGACTGAGCCAAAATATGACCACGCCAGGGGTCGAACCTGGAATCTCTTGATAGAGCTCAATATGGAAATTGAATCGTAGTCAAGCGCCTTGCCATTGGGCCACGCGGCCATTTGTGAAGACACACTATCAAGTCCGTATTATCAAGTTTGAATTTTCAGGATCAATCACGCACGGACCAGCTTAATCTTCGCTAAGGTAATTAGGCTTCCTTGCCAACAGCATCCTCATACTCTGCACCACTGTTTCTCAGAAGAAGAACTTAGCGCTTACCCGAGAACTGACAGCATTGCCTGAGTAATCGAAAGTCCTTCATGGGATAATGGTTCATACGTAAGGTAATTACTATTTGGCAGCCATGTGCACAGACCGCTGATGAGGAATCTAGCCTAAAGGGGTTAGACATACCTCATGAGAAGCACAGCATGTCACTGCTTTGAAAATCACCGGCAACGAAATGTTCCTAATGCAAGAGAACAACAGGCCTAATCTGTACGCTTGGCAGACCGAATACCATCCAGGGTGCTGAGGAGGATACAACCAAAGAAGTAAATGCTAATACCATGTAAGTTCATGATTCCACCGACGCCGATCTCGATGAATAGCTCGTAACAATGGGTACTCAACCACAAGTCCATTCACATCATAGGGAAGGCTGACACTAAGGGTGATCTCTGATTCACATCTCCATCTGTGCGCCGTCGCCAAGGTCATCGGCTGGGGCATGACATTTGTCCTGCTCGACATTGATGCGTCCATTTGCCGACTCTGCTTCCACGTCAATGGGTATCCATCCGCGAACGGCACCATCACCCAGGAGAATGTTGTCTGGGCTCCTGTCATCGACTTCCACCTCCCTGTCTACATAGCTTGTCTGAGCAACCTCGATCCCGTTTTCCCGTAGCAATTGTAGCATAGCCCTTGTGTTGAGTTTCAACACACGCTCGGGCTCCTGTGCTTTCATAAATTTGCTTGTAAGATATGGGAACAGAATTCCAAAATCGGATTGAGAGAAGTGCTGGCTATTCGCCGGATAGAAGCAATGAGGCTTTCGGTTGGGAGTGTCGTAGTTTCGTGGAGGTGCGATGGCACGTTTCGTATCGTTGCAGTTGCCGGACCAGTTGAAAAAGCCCTGAGACAGAACGCTAACGACAGACTTGCCGCCTAAGCCGCCCGTGGCATAGGATGGAAGTGGCTTCTCCCAAAGCCACGACTGTGAAGGACTACGAAGGGGTAAGCACCATAGGTCAAGCAAGGCCACAGGTGTCTTTGCAGTTATCTGTTTTGCAAGCTCGCAATCAGACAAAGGTTCGAAGAGAGGCCGAGTAGCGCACGACGGCTTCTCTCTCGCATAGAAGACAGACTTCAAGAGTTGAACGATTGTGCAGGCACCGAAACTATGGCCGGCGAAGGAAATTTTACCAGGCTCATGAACGTCTAAAGTATTCTTGAAACGGTCGAGAACTTCAACACGCTCCTTATGGTTGTGCGATGTGTTGTCGTCGAGGTTCTCTAGTTGGTCGCCTCTGTCAATCTTGAGGAGTGCGGCGTGTGCCAGTGCTGTTTCCCAAAGACGGATACGCAATTGTTGGTCCCGACCAGCGTAAACCTCAGCGGAAGGGGTATGGGAGAGGTGAACAGGTTCGATAATCTTGCTCTCCGTCGTCCTCGTCGCTCTTATGTATTGGATTGGCGAACTGCCGTCTCGGTGGTCCATCGCAATCACCGCCAAGCCATGGGAAGCAATCGAGCCGCATATGTGTGAGTATAGATTCCTCGAACCTGCGAGGCCGTGAGAGAAGAAGACGACTGGCCATCTCTTATTCTGCGTTGGAGGGTTCAGCAAGGGTGCATTTCGAGAGGCGGGGATTGTGATGTGGTATAGAAGCGAGGGAAGATATCTGGCAAGGTATTGCAATCAGCACTACTCCCAAAAGCAGACTCTGTCAGGGCTGCCGCTTACGAAAAGGCATTTGAAAACTTGGAGTTGGCCCCGAGGAAGGTGGCAAAGGCGCTGGCTGTTGCGCGTTGCGGCGAGGGTATCCACTTGACTGGCCGAGAGGTGGAAGACGTTTCGCAAGGATAGAAGATGCGGAATGCGATGGTGGAGGGAGCAGACTCATGGAGAGTAGTACTGCATGAGGGAAGATCTGCGGCGGGTACTTCGACATCGACTGTGCCTACGGAGTATGGACCAGAATAGGCTGGGAAGCCCGGTATGGGGTTGAAGCGAGATAGCCAAGTCATAGGCGTGGATTGATTTGTTGGAGAGGAAAGAGGCACGATCTGCAAATTAAAGTATTCAAGTAATAGAAAATAGGATTATACTAGTGGCAATAGAAATATAGCAAGGAAAGTGAAAACAGTGAAGAAACATTTTCATGTGAAGGGTACAGGACCACCGAGGCTACTCGTACGAGTACTGTACGAGTACTGACGTGCAGTGCACGCGACACAGGACTCTGTCTGGCCTGGCTTGTCTGTGGATTTTCCATCCGTGATCCGGAGAGACGTGACGTTTAGCGACATTTGGCTTATTTTGAGGTCCGGAGATTGCGGAAACAGAAAAGCTAGACCGAATGGGGGAAGTCTGTGTGTAGTGCCGAACCCGTTCCTGAACAGTGGCCGGGGAAGTGTACAGGGACCTTGAGCCAGAGCAGCTCAGATCGGAGCAGAAGAAGCAAGAGAGAGATGTAGCTACTGGGTGGACGTTGCTCGGTGCTCGCTCATGCTCTGTCGAGATTGGTGTTTGTCGATGGTTGACTGGAAGGCACGCTGTGTGGAATGGAAACGGTGTAGAAGAACTTCCAAAAGGTGTCAACATGACCATAAGGTACTTTGTCTTCAGCTACGATGCTTGATGGCTTCCCACGTCAAATGGACGGAGCATCCTACTGTCACAGTTGTCATGATCGAGTGGCAAGAAGCTATAACGCAGCGGATCCGGAAGGCTATGAAGTGGCATGTATCAGGAGAGGAAAGAGGTGTCCTTTCATGTCGGATCAAGGCGGATGAATCGGAATTAGGCTCAGCACCGAAGATAGTGCGTAAATG